TGCTGTCAATTAAAATTTCCTCACTTAATTAGGAAACAAAACAAACAGAGTTGATCACAAAAAGTGATACAGATTTCTATCAGCATCACATCGATGTTGAATTTGCTTAAATTTTCTTTATCCAAATAATGTAAAACAATAAATGAAATCTCGATCGGCGATCACTGAAACGCAGCTAGCCACTGTATACTTGTAAAAGCAATGTTGCCACTTTTTCTCATTAAACCATGTTCGAATCATGAACCAAAAAGACAAGATCACGACAGCAGAAGAGTGGCCCGTTATAATCGCACTTATGAAAAAAGTAGGGCGATTTTGACATAAGCCGTTTGTTTACATTTGTTCGTTGTTTACAATTTGGTGGTGGCTTTTTACTGCAATTTTCTTAATTTTCGCTTGTGACAACGTGTGCACACATAAGGTAAAGAATAATTTAACACAACGGCACGATTTATAGAAGAATTTGCATAATAAAAATGATTTTTCATGCGTTCAATAATTTCGCGGTTTTCTCCGTTCTCTTCGTTGTTTACTTCTTACAACAAAGATGGCGTCGAGATTTCGGCAGCTAGAAAATAACTTTTTTCGTTCTTTCCTTCCCGCGTGATCTTGTGTCTTTCGTTCATGTGTTCGAATCGTGGAGATTTTGGAAGATCACAGGGTTGCTTTTAGCATTTAGATTCTTAATGCAAAAATGGAGTTGCATTTAGGTGGCGAATTTTGTATGGATAAATGTACATTTAGAGTAGCATTTAGAGCTAAATGCGCTAAATGTGCTTTTACGCGTAAGCAAAAACAGCACATTAGATCGCCGAAACAACAGCCGTTGGCCGGGTAAAACCCGAGTCATTCCGGTACGTAGAACCGGCTGTCGTGGGAATGCATTTCATGAATTCGCGAATTATGCATAAACGGAACCAATTTCGAATTCATGAAATTAACTTAGGGTTTACACCGTGCAATACTGTCATGACAATAGCAATACATGCACAATTTTTCAATCCATGCATACTTTTCCAATTGTCTCAATCACTGTCTTGATTATTTTCAAGATAGTAGATCGGACAATGATTTGACGTATGCAGACAATAATTTTGTCGTCTTGTGCAAGAAAGAAGAGAAATTCATAACAAAAGGTCTAAAATAACACTAGAGACGCTGATGTGTTTGCAACTTTGTCTCTTGGTTATAATTTTTTAGTTTTAAATTTAAATAGCTCGCCCGAAATGCGTATTATACTACAGCATTCACGTACGACATTTTACTCCAAATGAATGGTCATAACTATTGTCAGGACGCCTACGCCACGGAGACAATAGGTTTGTGTAGTAACTTCTCCAGTAAAACATTGCACCGAGATCGAAAAAGCAAAATAGAGCGAGAAATTGAGAAGAAGAGAAAACTAGCAGAAAAAGTTAATAAACACAAAACTAGCAAAAACTAGTGGTTGCACTGTCTTGACATTCTGCTGTAAACATTTTACTATTTATAAATCAGTTTTAAACTCTTTGCTTTACATACAAGCACTTACACTGTCCACTCATTTTACTTTTGTTTGTGCTAAACCGATTCAACAAATGGCGGCTTTTGACATTTATTCTTCTTCTTCTTCTGCTAGCTAATTTCTGCTAGTAAAATTTTAACTAGCAATAATTTGCAGCTCTCCCGTGTTGTGACGCTCTGGATTCAGTGCTCTCTTGCAAATTTTTTGGGTTATCATACACTTTTCCAGTAAAAATTTGCAGGTTCCAGTACAAATTAGTAGTGACTATTAGTTACTATACAAACCTAATTATCAGCGTTTTTGACAACTAATACGTATTTCTTTATTATCTTGACAGCATTGTCTAATGTAAACTCGTCGTAAATTAAAGTATGCATATAAACAGCTGATTGCCAAGAAAAATTCTGCGATGTTGAGTTTTCATTTACATGGCGCTCTGGTAAGGTAGATCGTGTCAGCTGACTGCTGACTCGGATTAAGGTACCGTTAGGTTTACGTTTTGACTAATGTCACCTTAAACGTTGTATATGCCTTAGTATTAAAAATAGGACGGTTGGCAGCCCTAAATTCAATAAATAGCACAAAACCCTGGATGAAGAAAATGTTACGGACCAATCTGTGCAACCTTGTGCTTATGTCTTTTTTGTGGTAGAGCGTTTAATTTAACTTCTAGCTTGTAAATTTTACTTTTCTTGCTTTATTATTTATCAAAATTATGTCCACTGCACAAACTACAAAAAATTGCATTACACTACGTGGTTCAGCGCAAATAATTGTCGAATATTTAAGTAAGTTTATATGCACCAGGGCCAATGCACTTGGCCAATGGCGCCAACTATACATATTCCCGAAAAGATTGTATTTTAAACGGTATTATTTTCTTTCCATCCATTTGCAGAATATGGAATTAATTCTATTCTATTTCAACGTGGAATCTATCCACCAGAGACTTTTGAGAATACCCAACAATATGGCATAACTATTCTGATGTCGAAGGATAAAAAGATTGAAGACTTCTTGGCAAATGTATTGCAACAAACTGAAGGTTTTTAATAGCGCACAAAGGTTAATAAGGTATTATATTTTTCGTATAATATATTTTATTACAGAGTGGCTTGCCAAGAATATGATTGAGAAAATTTCAATGATTATAACTAATGCACACACTAAAGAAGTATTGGAGTGTTGGGACTTCAAAATGCAGGCCGAGTTGGGCGATGGTGATACGAGCAATTCCACAAAACTCACTTCCAGCAAGGAACTGAAACGTATACAAAACGAAATACGTGATGTTATGCGACAGATATCGGCAACTGTCAGTTATTTGCCGTTGCTCGATTGCATTTGTACTTTCGATGTGATGTTATACACGCTGCAGAATTGCGAGATTCCCGAAAAGTGGGATGAAACCGGCGCTGTATTTATACAAAATGCACAGGCTGTACAGCTTCGTTCTTTCTCAACTGGACTGCATAAAGTGGATACGGTTGTTAATTACAAGATGTCTTCTTAATTTATTTGATTTAAATATGGCGAAACGCCCCTTGTTTTATATGCAGTAATTTATTAAACGCGTATCGGAGCTTTTGTAACTTAGGGCCATTTTAACTTAGATCACGAAAACCAGCTAACTCGAACGCTAAAACTACAGTCAAATTCAACCGTGACTGAAAAACTGGCACTTAAATGTGCTGTCACCTTTTATGTGAGAATTTCTAAATAAAGAATTAAATTTCAATAGGAACTAAACTTGGTTTTTGTCGAACTGGGTTAGGTTGAGATTTTAGCTACTAATATGATGAATACAAACACTGAGAACGCTGATATTTGTAAAACCGACTATGCATTTTATGAATGAAAAATATTAATGTGTGGTTCAAATTTCAAATTTTGCAAATGTAATGAATCTAAAATGTCTGATGCTTTGCAATACCAATATACATAATTTACTTTGTTACAAGTATTTGATTAATATTGCATCATACCAAAATTAAATAAATATATATAATTTAAAGGTGGTGGACTAATTACAATCTTTTTTAAATTAAAAAAAGTTGCTAAACTAAAAGTTGCAACGATCTTTAAGTACAACTTTTCCGTTTTAAGTTAAGTTAAGTAAGCTAAAAATCTCTAACATACAGGCAGGTTCTGAAATTCACTTCCGAGGGAATTTCACTCGCTTTGAATTCAAATTTGCAAGGGTTGAAATTCACTCGTAAATGAAGAGCAAAACCTGCCTGATAATTTTAACAACTAAAATTTTTGGAATAAACTCTTCTATCATTATGCTAGTCGGTACCAAAATATTTTTGACCGAAATGATTTGGTGCGACAGGATGCAGCTCGGAAGTAAGAATTTTAAGCCTGGGGAAAGCACCAACTACAGTTTTAGCTGCGATTGGTGTGCAGAAAAGGTTTGACAATATAATGCAGCTCTCCGGTACGCCGTGTTCCTTGAGAACATTGACAGCCTTAAAATATACATATTGGAATCGAGCAAAAAATAAGCTACATAGTTTTTTTCTACCTACTTGTAGAACTGTATTACCAGTCGACATTATAGGATACATGAGCAAGACTTGTCGGCTAGCAATGTCATCGGGGAAACGAGCATAGACTACACGCGCTTCGTGTGTATCTGCATCAGACTCAACCAATATTTTTCCAATGCGTATTGAACGGCAACAATCACGTAAGCCCTGTTCCATTGCTTCACCAGAGCGTATAATTGAGACACCACAATTTCCAGCGCGATACTTGAGGCCATCATATGTTGCACCCGTCGGTGTTTCCACACGGCAATCCGAATATGGTAGCTGGTTAAGAGATTCCTCAATGACTAAACGTATAAGACGGTCAGCGTAAAATTTAAAGTCACTGCGAGTAGTATTTCTGCAAAGAGAAACATTTAAAATTAAGGTCCACATGTCATCAGAAGTGTACTTACTTATCACGGATAATAGTTAACAATTCAGCTACTTGCGAATTGCAGTCCAATATCTTTAAATTGGGACCATATTCTTCAAGTATTTCGTCAGGTTTGAGAGAGGCAACCATTACTGCTCCTGTTGAAAGTCCTATAATGCTATTACTTTCTCCATTGCTGTTGCTGCCACTACTTTCAGCATGGTTTTGAGAAGCATTCATAGGAGCATCAGCACCAGCCATAACGCTATTTGAACACGAAGCTATGTTCCGTGTTAAATTATAATCTAACTATTTTTGTAAATACAGTAAGAACTAAGCAAGTTTTAAATAACCCCAATAAAACTAAACAGGTGTAAGAATCATCAGCTGTTGCAAAAAGTCGATAACGGTATCTGAGCTTGCCATAAAAAAATATCGATAATGTATCGATTAGTCATCATAAGGCGCCCGTCACACCATGCATAGGCGCGATACGTGGATCGTCATCCATATTGATGAATTTCAAAATTGGTTCTTTCCCTAACAATCCGGGCCGGATCCGGTAATTAGAGAATAAGCGAAAAAGTTTGCTCTCAACAATGGAACGTAGTCCAGAAGTACGGGAACGCAAAAAACAACATTTCGTACCCAGAATTTGAGAAACAGCTGATTCACGTTATTTTGTTTTTGTCACTTAAATGCACACACTTGGATATTGAATTTTGGTTTCACAAATTTGATTTTAAGTATATAAATATTGAAAATACATCAACAGGCCATTCACTATTCCTTAAAAGCACCAAGTAAATGCAGGCGACAAGTAGACACAAAACAGCTGATATGCACTTTGACACTTTATCCATTTTTATCCGGAGAAAAAGCCCTGGCTATTTCGGGCAGGAAGAAGGAGACACTTACGATCCAATACGTTCCAATTTCCGCTCTCTATTACACATTTTGTTAAGTACGGGAATGATTTCTGGACTGTTTTGGGCACCCGGCGAATCCCGCCTTGCGTACGGGAAAGAACCTAATATTTAGAAATCTTCCCTTAGGCCTTCCCTTAAACTCGTAAACTTCTGTGTTGCCGATGGCCCGAAATTTGTATACAAAAATATATGATAAAATAATGAAAAAAAAATAAAAATAAAACTAATAATAAATAATAATAATAATAAAATAAATGAATTTCATCAACTAACTGTATTGACTTATACTAGGTTCACATATAAGTAGATTATCCTCATTTTCGAGCTTAACACCAAAACCTGTAATTATAACAAGAGATTAGCCATATAAAATTCGTCCCTTGGTAATCTGTAATTATAAAATAATCTCAGATTTAACCGATAACTTTTCGGTGTCCATCCTAGTTTTATCGACTGTTTTTGCGAAAGAGAGAAGAAATGCCAAATGTAAAAGTAAACAAAAATGTACGCTAGCAAGTAAAAGAGGTTTGTAAAGGTATTTTTAATAAAATGTTAAGTTAAAATATATTTATATTGCTTATTATAGCTGAAAAACGTGATCACGGTGGCACAGAGAAGAAACATTACTTTTCCTTGAAATGTGAGAATAACAAGCACAACAAATTTGACGGCTAATAATCTGAGATTTGCCTGTGTAAACGGGGCGATTAAAAAACGATGTGATGTAAACAAACGCTCAGCTGACGAACCCGCTTTCGCAAACTTTTTTCTCAAAACCAGTTACAAATACAACGTCGCGTTTTTACGTGATCTTGTATTTCTGGTTCATGATTATAACTGGTGCGAAACATGCATGTAACAAGGACATGCCTTCTCTTTTGCCCTAGTACGTTTTTTTGATTGGCTGAAATGAGAAGGCACGTCCCTGTTACACACTTTCGCTACAATTATAATGAGTTGTCCCTTTTAGTTATCTACGGTCTTTGATACGGATCGCAAAATACCTATAAATCTTGAAATCCGGATCACGGATCGCGGATCTCGCAATAAATATTGAAAGTACAAATTGTAGCATCCCACAATAACGCGGCGCTAGCACAGAGCAGCGCGTGCTGACACTCGTTGACAATGGAAAACGCAACGCTTGTCACTCCAATTTAGGGACAGCAGTATGGCAGTTTCGAGGTAAAGACTGCCAATTAGGCACCTCTTACCCCATCAACACGGATCGCGATATTTGGATCGTGATCCATATTAATGGAGTCTACATGTTCAATATTTATCGCGTCAGTATTTGCTTCATTTTTGTGCTGCACACTTTTTAATAATATATTTATTTTGTTTCAATAATTTACAGATAATGCATACCACTGTTCTTTTCATTGTGATTCTTCGCATTATGATACAAGATGTACTGACGAAATGTATGGATCACGTTTTGAATATGCTTCAACGCGATAAATATTGAACATGTAGACTCCATTAATATGGATCACGATCCAAATATCGCGATCCGTGTTGATGGGGTAAGAGGTGCCTAATTGGCAGTCTTTACCTCGAAACTGCCATACTGCTGTCCCTAAATTGGAGTGACAAGCGTTGCGTTTTCCATTGTCAACGAGTGTCAGCACGCGCTGCTCTGCGCTAGCGCCTCGTTATTGTGGGATGCTACAATTTGTAAATATATGGCTAGCGTTCATGAACAAGATCACGCAAGAACAAGAGAGTGAAAAAAGTCGATTTTTTAGCGTGTTCTACGCCATCTTGTTACGCCAGAAAACGAAAAAAAGTAAACAAAGCAAAAAAACAATAAAAACCAAAGTTAAACAAAACTATTGTCACACACAATTTAGGTAAAATTATTAATTGGAAATCTTTACAACGTTTTGTCATGTTGAATTAACTTTTCTTTACTTACAGTAAGTAGTACTTGTAATGTAAACAAATGCTCAGCTGACGAACCCGCTTTTGCAAACTTTTTTCTCAAAAGTAGTTACAAATATGTATTACATTTCGTGATCTTGTATTTTTGGTTCATGGCTAGCGTTCTACTTTGTTTTTGGCTTTCTTGACAGATGCAGAATTTCAGATAAGCTATTTAAGTAGAGCTTGTTGATTAACTTCAAAAATTCATTTTCAGATCATATATTTAAACTGCATTTAAATGGCCAATAATGGCTACATAATAAGAGATATGCAGGCCTGTGTTAGTACCAAGCAACAATCAGCTGTTCAGCACTAAATGTGTTTCCACTTGTTTGGCATATTTGAATAAAGGAGATTTGAAACGGGGCACCGAAATTGCGCATTTGGAAACTGTGCATTTAGACATTATTTCGATTTCAAACAAAACTGTGCATGTATCAGAGGTGTTAAGTAATACAATCAACGTGACTGAAAATCGTTGCAGTCACATTAATTACGTTCCAGATGCTTCGCGATATTCACGATATTCACGATTTGCAGGAACAGCTGTTTTCTCCATTAAAAAACCTTATGGAAAGTGGTCACCTGGAACGACTTCCTGTAAGAACCTGCAAATCGTAAAGCATCTGGAACGCAACTATTCATTGATGCGCGATGTTTAACTGCAGTCTTTCAGTAACTTTTTTTTTACTGATGACTGCAAAATTGAAGTCACCAGGGGCTCTATTCTGTAACTGTGAGTTTTCAAGTGTACACTGATAATTGTGTGCACTCTTCATTTTGCGATTCAGGAAGAGTGAGAATGAGTTTTAGCTGTCAAAATTGTGTACACTTCCTCATTTTGTAATTCAGCATGTGTGAGAATGAGTTTTAACTGTCAAAATTGTGTACACTTCTCTTCCGAAAAACTCACTGAATTTTAGTCGGTGAGTTTTTGGTTGTGAGTTTTGCACTCGGTGTACACTACATTTTCTCACAGTTACAGAATAGAGCCCCAGGCTTTTTTATTATTCATGACCAGGCATGGGCAGAGACTTAGGTCGGTGTTATGCAGACAAATTTTGTTTGCCAAATTAAATGGCGGCTGCTTAGTTTGCTCGGAGGTGGTTATGTCGAGTTTGGCACAAGGTTGCACGTTCATTATGGTTTTCATGGCTATTGCCAACACGAAATGAGAATTTTGTGTATAGCAACAATTGTCTAAAATTTTTGTATATGACAACGCCGAATTTGCTGCAGTTTGACCAAACAAAATTAGTTTGCTGTGAGAGTCGCCAAACTCGCTCTCTCCGAGTTTGCTGCAACAACAATTGCACGCAGTTTGCCAAACAAAATTTCTGCATAACACCGACCTTAGCAGGTGCTAAAAAAGCCTAAGCATCGCGTGCAGTGTTGCCAGAACTTTTTGGGCCGACCGGCTAGATTGGCAAAAAAAAGCGGCTAAAAACGGCTAAAATGTTTTAGTGAAATTTCACATAGACTCTGGCAAAAAACGGCTAAAATGTTTTAGTGAAAATTCACATGCTTTATTTAAATAAATCGCAAGAAACGAAAGACTAGTTAACACCATTAATTTATATCGAGTGTATATTCCTCATCATCAAATGAATCACTATTGTATATATCACCTGAATTCATTAATTTTAAGAGATCGTCATCTACAGTAAAATTATGGCAGCATTTTTCTTCACGTTTTAAACCGTATCGTATATATAAAATAGCGTTTAACGTTTTAACGCACATTGGATTTCTTTGCTTAGTTTTTATTATATTCATTGAACTAAATATTCGCTCTACTTCTGCATTACTTATAGGCAAAACAAGAAAACTAAAAACTAGGTTGGAAAGGTCAGCAAACTTCGGCCCAAAATTTTACAGTTGAGTCTAAATTACTCCAGGTATGTAACGTTAACCGTTGCCATTGCATCTCTATGGATGTTATTTCGTCGGCATTATATTTGTGTTTTTGTTGCTGTAGTTGAACAAATACTTTTAGTTTATTTACTCTTAATGCATTTCCAACCGAAAAAAGTCAATTTTTTTTAGTGTGGCAATATTTGTAGGGAGGCGTTGGCGTAATTCCTTTATTAAACTGATAATAAAATAGCGACCATTTTCTCGAATTATTTTCTCGGCTTCGTGGTCAAAAGCGTTTGTGCTTACTTTTGATTTTAAATACTCTTCAAAACTGTGATAAAACTTAGGAAATGGAGCAAGGTATGGTTCCAACGGGGAGCCTATAGGATCAAATGTGTCCGCGCTAATAACCACTAGGGAGCATAGATGCGAAAGTAAAACATTGAGTTCATTAAAAATCTTCATTGGGTCTGCATTATTGCTTTCGAACAACTTGTTTACTTTTTGCACCTGAAAATTAGGCAAATAGTAAAATCGGCTAAAAACGGCTAACTTTTTTTTACAAGCCGGCTAACAAATCGGCTGCCGGCTAGATCGAATTTTCTCCGGCTAGTTGCTATCAAAACCGGCTAAATCTAGCCGGAAAACGGCTAAAATGGCAACGCTGATCGCGTGTACGTATACTAGCGAGAGCGTAACGATGAGAACGCGACAGCATGCAAAATGAATTGGATACACTAACACATTCTCAATTTTAGCTCACGCTTGTTTGTGGAAGTGCCCACCTCATGTTTTATTCAACCATCACAAGCAAATAGCTAAATCTTGGTCAAATAAAACGAAATTAGCTTATTTCCTATGTTAGCCTAATTTTGACAGTTGTTTGACTGCAAATAGTGTCAAAGTAAGTTTTTGCCTCTTTCTGATTGGCTGAAGGAGAAAATGTCTGATGCTGAATGGCAATGCCTCTTGTTCAATAAACAAGCCAAGATAGCTTTTCATAAGCCAATATAATTATGTTGGGTAAGTCCTCCATACAAAATAAGCTAATAGCTTAAATTTCTAAACACGGCTAATATAAAAACTGCAGAGGAACAAAAATATATATTTTTTTTTATTTTATAGAAACTTGAACTTTAATATATGTAATAATAATAATAATAGATTGGCGCTTACACATATGTTAGTATTTGGCCGAGCTTCTCGTCCGACTTGTGGCGTGCGCCTTCATTTGTCACACAAAGCGGAGGGACCTACAGTTTTACGCCTACTCCGAACGGCGATTGTATTCTCATGAAAAGCTGTTTTTCATGGCAGAAATACACTCGGAGGTTTGCCATTGCCTGCCGGGGCCGACCGTTGTTAAAAAAAACCTCTCTTCAATATTTTTTGCGATGTTGCTTTGACCAGGGCTTGAACCCAGGTGCTGATGAGTGAAAGCGCGCACTGCTTACCACTACACCACAGCGGCCGACATATGTACATACTTAAAACTATGAGCTGTCGATCATTTACGTTAATTCTCAAATTATGTTATATATTCCACGTTAAACTCGGTGGAAATTATGTCAAAAAGCTCGACTTTATTATTACTATGAAAACGCCCCATCATATTCTCAACAGTTTGTAATGAAGTTCTATTTCTCTTTTCACTTTGGATGAATTTTAAATCTGAAAGTATACGCTCTGCAGTTGCAGAGATATTTATGAGGCAAGTTAAGTAAATTAAAAATTAATGAAGTCAGCTCTTTATACATAGTTCATTTAAAGCATTTTTCTTTAAGCTTATTTGACCCCAAAACGCTACAGTATCTTCGATCAAATTTTAGAAGCTACCACAGCATACATACATAAATATTTTCTCTTTACCATGTATCAAAATTTGTACTACACGAAAAATTAAAGCATCTCCAGAAATTAGTGAGAAAATAAAGTATCTTCCGAAAGTATGCACAAACACGTATCACTTTGGAAGTATATGGAGGAAACCGGCAACACTGTTTTTCATTCAAACTTCTTTTTGAACAGCTGTTACCAATCAGCTATTTACGTGCGGAATATGAATTCTCATTTTTAATGCCGGCAATAAGTTGTCCTTAAATTTATATTAGTATAAATATTTGAAGTGAAATTTAACAAAGAAATGAGTGACCCAAATAGAGATCCATCCTCTACTTTAAAGGAGGATGGCACAAATGCGAGTATTTTGATATTAAATGATGACTGCCTACTTGAAATATTTAAGCAACTAGAATTGCCGGATCAAGTGCGTTTGGCGATGATTTGCCCACGGTTACGAAATGTTTTTCAATATTACTGCCAGAGACATTACAAAGTACTGCAAAAAGATGACCTCAACGATATGAGTGCACGTGAGATAAGGCGATTTTTTGAAATGGCTGGCAGTTCGCTGGAGGAACTTATAAATCTACCCTACACCGATCAGGAACGTAACGAATATGTAACCCAAGTACATAAAAACTGTCCAAATGTGCTGCGAATTTACTTTGGAATGACTAAAATAAAGTCCAAGTGTTTACGTAAACTGCTTATGAACATGAAGCATCTTACTAGTGTGCATTTACAAAAATGCTCATTGGATGACAATGCAATGCAGAGTATAGCTGAGTTATCCACTTTAGAAGTATTAAAATTAGAAGGAGAGGAAGACGTAACAGGTATTTTGCAGTGTACAATTTTTATCAGAATATAAATCCCCTTTGGTAAAATTTAGGTCGTTATCTAAGCAAACTTAAATGTCTAAAGGAACTAACATTTGTGGAATGTGGTATACAAGATGATTTCTTTGTTGAAATTTGCACCTCGCTTAAGGGCCTTAAGAAGCTTACTCTACAGTGGTGTGAAGCACTCACAGATGTAGCTATTTCAGCGCTGCCGGTGTATTGTATCAACTTGGAAAAGCTTAATATATCCTGCAATCAAACCATTGAATATTATGCTATAGCGCAACTGCCAAAACTAATTGACTTAGAATTGTCTGCAGAATTATTTAGAACACAATCATTCAATTTATTATTAAACGCATTAGCCGATTACAAAGGTGAGCAGCTGCAGTGTTTGCGTATTTTCTCACCCCGACTCATTGTTGACGAAGGCATGAGATCTTTGTCGCTGTTTAAAAAACTAAAGGTATTCGGTTGCGACTGTAGCAAATATATTGATGTCACGTGTTTAAGATACATTAGCTCATTAAAAGACATGGAAATCGTTAGCCTAAGGTACTGCCGATCCGTTACTAACGAAGCAGTATTGGAGTTATTGGATGGTTGTCCAAAGTTGAAGTATGTTAATGTGATGCATTGTGATCAGCTAACTGAGGAATTGGTCTATAAGACCATTAATTTATTGGAAAGTAGGCATAGAGGAAAGCAGCCCCAATGTGATAAAAGCCCATTGCTGATAATGGTGGCAGGAACGAGAATACGAGATTATATTTTAGAGGTAAAAGGTTGTCATATAAAGGTTATACACTTTTTAATCAGTTCTTTTTTAGGATACCCAATATTTAACTGCACTTGATGCTGGAACATTACGACTGAGCTTTGAGAACCCATTTCAATACCCGTATGAAAATTTATACTATACATTTAATGTGCCGGCGTTTGGTGATCTTAAGTACTTTTACTAAATAGGTACAGCTTAGCTACTTTGCACATACGTAGTTATGTTTTTTGCAAATTATATTTTAAATTCTTTACATTATTCGGCGGCACTTTAGTTTAGCAACTATGCCAAGAATTTAGAACTATATAATTTGTTTGCTACAAAAAAAGAGGTTTTATGTAAATATGTTTGTTCATGCTGTTTTTAGCTATTACTTCGCGAAGGTATTATACATAGGTCGCTTATTATGAGACCATAAAATTAAAGATTTAATAGCTGCTCGGATATAACTTGATATAATTTTGGTACGATTTATTTAAATATTCTATTATAAATTTATTCTTAGAAAAATCTTTAAGGCAGTGAATAAAACTTGGGTAATAATTTAATAAACAAGCGATCTTTGTACATTCGCAAACAAACATACAAATTTTGCAATGTAAATGCATATGGGCTAAAGCATAATGTACTTTTGTTGACTATTAACTTACAGTTGTTTTCAGGTGGCACTGGTAAAAAACCTATTGCGAAATATGGTGAGATCATTGAGATAAGATATGAGAGAAAATTATGCACATATAATATGCATCTAAAACTCAAAAATATTAACTTAAAATATGCAATAAAACTTCAAAATATGTAGTCATAAATAGTGTTTAAAAAAAATCTTGAAAGCACAAACATTTAAAGAAATACATAGCAAATATCGTTACCTTAATTCATAAAGGCCCAACCAACGCTTTTTTCGAAACTGCGTTTTTCACAGATTTTGGGTGGATGTATTAAAATACACCTTCAATATAAATTGATTGTACCAAAATAACGGAGTCACATGCCACTTTTTAAAAAGCACCTGTTTTTGATACTCTTTTTATAATGTTTTTTGCTTCTGTAAATTAAAAAAAAAATGGTTAGGGCCTTTGTGAATTAAGGTAACGATTTGTACATTCAGTGACCCAAAGAAAATGGGGCCGTTTTTACACTAGTAACAGTGTTTTTTCATATTAACCCTGGACATGAGTGGTCGATGCGACTAACAATGTTAGATGTAATATTGAAAATAAATATAATTAATATTTTGTTAATGTGTTAAAAAAACCCAAAATCATCAAATGTATTTTCTCCTTTAAGTGTGGTTTGTTTCTTATTTAAATTCAAAGTTGATGCTAGTCGTTTCGACAAAGCTTGCAGTCAGGGACAAAACGAAGCACGTCCAGGGATAAATTCATTAATTTTAATTAAATACTGATGTTTTACAAAAATATATATATGGTGATCCATCTAGACCTTGGTTTTTTATTTTTAAATGAAACGCTTAAAACAGAACTGGATGTCGAAATCTTTATTATCACGCGAAATAATATTCTCTGACATTAATTTTTTTAAAATAATTTCATTAAAATGTTGGCCGCATACAGAACAAACCGCAAATAACGAGTGCTACCGCACCATGATAACAAAATTTTTGTTACCTGAGATTGAAGCCCGTAACATTTGGTTTCAGCGAGTTATCGTGTGATAAGTCAAAAGTTTTCGTCGACAAGCCAGCTATGATTCAAAACTTGGGAGCCGGCATAACTCGCGTAATTCGCGTAATGTTGGAAAAAATAATTGAAAATTGGACCTTCCTAATGGACCACCTACAGCGTAGTCGCGGTCAACTTTGGAATGAAATCATTTTTAAAAAGTAATGCTGGATTTCCACTAGGCATTAAATGGCAAAAGTGACAAATGACAAAGTCGGGCATAAAAAAATAATCGTGTCATTACATTAAAAAATAGTCATTAAGTTCATTTCCACATGGCATTTTTTTGAATGGCATAAATTTTTTGTCATTTCAATCCTTAGTGCAAATTCGGCATAATTATCAGAGAATGTTAATCCGGATAATATTAATGATTCCGATATCCAGTTCTGTTTCAAGTGTTTTATTTAAAATTAAAAAAAAAGTCCAGATGGATTACCCTATATAAATCAAACAGCCTCATTGCATAAGTCGTAAATTAAGGAAAATGCACGACTAGACAACATTGGCATTGGTCGTGTCGAGTAAAAATTGGCACGGCACCATGGAAAGGCTGGAATTCCGCACAAATCTGAAGAAGTTTAGTAACTTATGAACACCCGCTTATGTATTGTATCTTCATAAAAATTACTCCACATCTGGCCTATCATATTTATTTGGTGTCTCAAATGTGTTCGCATTTTTGTCAACTTCTGCACTTTTCCGATGACCTGTAAAATATTTCTGAGGATGACTTCAGACTGAAGTCGAAATATCGCAAAAAAAACGAATGCAAAATCTAAAAACACATATGTGTTTAATTTCCGTGTAGCCTTAAGCTCGAAATATAATCAATGTTATTTCTGTGCTACTCATAATAATTATTTTAGTTAATTTTTGCACTTTATTACTTCATAAATATGTTGTTCCGTTTAGGTAAAAGCCTTGTAATTTGCGATATGACTTGACTCTCGAAAAATGACTTGCACTCGACACGGCACTCATCTAAAAGTTTAAAAAATTTTGCAAAATACGTACAATTTCAAGAAATTAAAAAAAATTTTATTCTAAATTTCAAATGTTTTATGCAGATTTTTCAGATATCTTTCGAGTATGCAGTTTTTTACCCCATTCAATGTCCGTATAATACTTGTACTTGCGTTTCGCATTTGTTCTATAAAACATACGCTCAGTTTTTTATATGGAAAAAAAGTGCAACACTGTCGGCGGAAAAATTTTCAAAAATCAACGAAAATTATGCATAAAATATCAATTTTACTGAAAACATGCGAAAATATGGCATACTAAAGAATATTTGTTAGTTTACAAAGATATTTTATTTATATTGTTTACCAGATGTCCAAACAAACACGCAGGAAGGAAATCAGCTCCATATAAATTAATAATGAATATTGTGCACATTTAAGCAGCCAAACCGCGAAGACATAGCATTTTTACTTTCTTATCAAATATCCGATAATAAAATAGTCGCTCTAATAGCCGGGGCGTATTTGTAGATATAAGCATGCTGTACGTATGCAAACATGCGAAATTGAATTTAAATTATACATAAATTCAACTCAAAGAATTTCCTTACCTGTTTGTCTACAAATGAACAAAAAAATGCTGTGGTCTATGATTATTTGATTTATACTGGTTTTATTCCCTTTTATTCTACTTGTATATGATGCGATTTAAGGCCTTTCAAGATAATAAAATTTTTAGTGATACGACTTTTTATTAATTTCCTTAAAGTTAAATATTACACAAACCATATTACATTTTATTGTTTTTGTTTTGTTAAACATTTATGCTTATGTCTTATTCGTTTTCGAAATAATCGTATATCTGTTGTATTAGCACAACAAACTCATTTAAATGCAAACTATGTATAATCTTAGAAAGATACAGTTGATAAAACAAAAAATGTATAATCAACTAGTCAATAACATTTGAGAAATGCAAAGCGACGTCAAAAAAAAAAAATCTATTACGTTTATGATTATAGTTATTGTAAAATATTATGTATGTATAATTAATTGCTCCTGTTTGTATGGGACATATTTTCACTATTGAATGCTGTACATTTTCCGTAAAACGAGTGAATTGCGTTTTTAAAAATTATTTAACAAATTAAAATAAACAAATTTTACATAGTACGCATTCAGATCTACATTGCATGTACACACATATGATTGTATGCCAACTTCTTTTTAAATATATGTGCATACATACATATGTGTATGTATATAAATATTTATGTATGTATGTTTATGGTTGCATTCAAAACATTTATTTATTATTGTATTGCGGGCGGCATTGTAAAGATTCCAACCAAATAAATAAACGAATCGCATATTGGCATACATTTACAAATGTACATATGTTTTAATTTTAGTAAGTATATGTATGTATATTTAAATAAAAAATGCAAACCTTAAGTTAAGATAAAAAAATTAATTCAATAATATTTTTTGTTTTGTTTTAAAAACTAAAACATTTTGGCACTGTAAAGAAATTAATTACATAAACTTATAAGATTATAAATTTTCATTCATGTTTGTTTTTTTTTGTGCTGCTTTAAACAAAGTTTTTTGTACCAGTTGGGATTATAATTCGGCGTGGAATTGCGAAACACACGCTCATCATTACAATTGAATAAACAAGAAGCGGAAAAAAAAATTATGGACAATAATTTTGGTGATTTTGAAGGAACTAACTCCGCTAAAACAAACACAAGTATCTTAAGAGCTTCTCTGATATATGAATAAGAGTGTGAAACTGAGTCCCACGCAAATTTTGCAAAAAATTAAATTCAACAGGGAACATAGAGGAGTTCATAGGACATAAACCGCTTTTAAAATGTGTGTTATTTTATTTAAGTTTAGGTTTAATATAAAAAAAAACAAACGATTGGATGGCAAACATCACAGTACCTATAATTCAAAGCCAAAAAGAGATAACTACAAATGGAGAAAAGAAACGCGGCCTAAACAAAAAGATGCATGCACCATATTACGGTTTTATTAGTACATATAAATATTATTATCATTTTCAATTCAGCTACATATGACTACAATCTGTTTCTATTATTCATTTTCTTTTACATAATGCAATACTTTTTTTCGATACAAAATGGTACCGACTTTTGACTCTGCTAGCTGGAAATCCATGTATGTAATTAAAGCCAAATTTTATTATGGAAATATGTATGTATACAGATGGATTTGTTAAATACATAAAGTAACCAATGTTTAAAAGAGTCTAAGGTATTGACGATTGCTCGATATTGGTGTCCGAAAGTAAACGGATATCTCTCGTATAGATATAGCTCGCGTCTTCACCGCAAAAAAGCTAATAATCTCCAGCACGAAATGCTCGGAAATCATTATAACGTTGGCGTAAGAGGTCAGGCTGTAGTTGGGAATTCATGAAGATGGTGTACCACTTCTGACTGTGATGGAGTAAACTGCCAACCGCAATCGCCGATAAAACCCAGCACCGTGACAAATCCATTGTTGTTGTTGTAACAAAATAATAATGCCCCAAAGAGTTCTGGAGTGATAGTCCTTGGCCAGACACTTATAGATGTGGGTCATTCCGGTTACGTAGACCCGACTGCCGTGGTAACGGTGAGAAAGTAGTCCTTAAGTCGCTCGCTTGCAGCTCATGGGATGAAGAAAATTAAACGTCATTGGCAACTGGCCGACCTTTTCTGAACTATGCAGCGCCAGTCTGGTCATCGGGGTCTAGTAGCACGCAGTGGATAAAGCTACAGACATGCCACAACACAGCACTCCGGAGAGTTGCGGGATGTATTCTGATGACGATAGAACATCATTTGCATAGCGGGACTTAGGTGCTCCCTGTGAGGGAACACAATATTATGACGAGCAAGTTGTTGTGGATCGGTTGCTTTTGAACCGGCATTTTTTTTGTTGAAAGCGGAAACTCCTTCTAGGCACGTCAGCAAACATTTTCATGAGCTCATGGTCAAGATCTAGGATTAAGTAACCAACACTGCATCCAATGCTATACACACAGGCAATTAACGAAATTCATCGAGAGACCATCACAATCTCTTGCCTCGTGATTGCCGCAAAGCAGCGGATGAGCTGTCCGTCCTATGAATGCCGTCATAGGAGTACAATCACCACCTGTAAAAGAAAGTGAGCATCAACTGTCGAGAGAGACCTGCGTAACTCCGGCTCAATTGAGGTCTGGATATTGTAGTAGGTTAAACTCTTCTTTGTCCAGAGTAGACCCCGACGTACCCAACGTATGGTAAGCATTTGAAGGGTCTCCTCACAACACCATCCACATCTTCACATGCCCACTCAAACCAAATCAACTAAAATCCCTCCCATCTGGCCAACCACTTCAAAATAGTACGTTTCCTGTGCTTTCCGATAGTTGATATCGACGACAACGTTTGATGGAATATCCGATTCTAAGCAGGGCTCAATAGCCACAACAACAACAACAAGAGTTTCAGCTTCCACAAGGGCCTCTCGTATTTCTAGCGCAACTAAGATCCTGATATTGTAGATCGGAGGTGGGCAGCCTCGGCAGAGCATTTTTGAAATGTGCGTACAATTGATATCACTGTGAGCGTGCGAACAATCGTGCCCAGGGCTGCTGTAGACGGTTAAACTCCTATTTATTGAAACTAGCCCCATATGACAATAACCCCCTCCCTCTGGTTCGATAACGTCGAAAGATCATATTTCCTGGTTCTACCGCTAGTTGGGCTTGACTATTGAAAGATTAGCTGATCAAAAGTGGGATAAATAGCCGCAACAACAACAACAGAAGCTAGGATTTCTTATTCCTGGACCATCTGAACATTAACTGTTGTGTTATAAAGAAAGTCTGGACTAAGCCATTATGCGTATCATTCAAATGTCCTCCACGAGACCGTTTGTAAAACGTAATCCCTTTTAGGTGATTTTTTTTACACAATTATGGCAATAACTCGGTCATAACTTATGTATTTTACCCTTCGATTGCTTCAAGGTTGTAAGATTGTTAGAAATTCGAATAAACGCAATCATTCGCATAGCTCCACAAAACGGATTAAAGGCGTTAAATAGCAGGATCGTGGCGAGAAACCTTGTATTAAGAATTGTAAGTCAAAGCATTAGCCAATATGCGCAACCACTGTTAAATGCCGTATTGGAATTATGCGAATAAGGAATTTCCATCAATTATAGTTTAGAAATAAAAGAGACTGAAGCTCTGGCTTGATACATTTCTGAACACAGCCAAAGTCACATCGCCGAATCTCGAAATTAAGCGTCCTGAGAACTTATCGCGCAATAATGCTTTAACTGGGCGCGACGTGTAGCATGCTGCCCCGTCTGGTTGAAACCACATTAGCTTTCTGGCCAAAAAAGGTTATTGATCATCGGCATAACGCTGGGAATTGACTCCTTAAGATCTAAAGTAAACTCTGCTAAACTACAACTATGATCGGATACGCTCCAATGCTGTAGCGATATACAGAAAAAATGGTGGAACTTGACATCAAAGCCCACAGATATGCCTTCAGATCTCAGCCGGCTTTGTTGAAATTTGCTCTTAATTCTACAACAACCTGAACTCATTTGCGATCTGCAGGTGCAAGGAGCTTGCACGTAAAGCCAATCCCTATATCTATCTTAACAAAGGTCATTTTGTCGAATGAGTACGAAAACTTGTTTAATTTTGCAAAAACGTACAAATTTTGACCGTTCAGCAAGTGTTCCGCGATTTTCGAGCCCCTTCTATTTGTAGAAAATACACAAACAGCCTTATCACGAGTTTCATTTTCCTCGAACCGGTTCACTTTTCACATTTGGTTTCCATGTATTTACTATGGGCGGATGAAAAATTTTCGGGAGATTTTTTTTCGGGCGAAACTCAGGATAAGAGCTATAGTATTTTTTTTTCAAAACTAAAAAATACTTTTAGAAAATTTTCTACATATTAATTAGTTTTGGTAGTCAAAGCTGTGTTTGCGCTTATCAAGATTTAATCACTCTATTATGCCACCCAAGGAGTTACTATGGACCTATTTCTAGTTCTTTTGTTAATTTTTCTTTGTTTTTTTTTGTATTCAAACCCTGATAATTATCAATCGGTTATTGCAATGTTTGCTACACCATTCCATAGTCGGTGCGGACCGGCGTCGGTTGATTGTTTTGTTGCTTCTCCTTGTTCGCAGCTGCAGCAGCAGCCATATTAAGTTCCACCAACGTGTCGATACTATTCAAGCTTACACCCTGCAGAATCTTCTGCGCCGCCAATGAGGTAAAATTAAAAGATAAATCCGTTAGACTGGGAAAATTATAGAGGTCTTCATTGCCCACCGCTGGCGGCGCCACTGCGCCATTTGGGTCCTTCGATAAACTGAATCGGCGATCGAGTCCTTCCTTTTCGATAGACTTGTCACTTGCATTGGTACAGTTATTGTCCTTTAAAGCTAAATTTGGCTCACTACCCACAGCAATTATATTTTTTTGAAGTATATGCGCAAGATCGTCTCCATTGATGGCTGGGCTTGAGCTGAGAATGTTTCCGGTCTTTTGGAGATTACCCGATGACTCATAGCGATTCAGGTTCTTTAAATCACAATTGGAGTTCATTAGTTTTGATTGCGCTGCATCCTTTGTGTTCTTCTCGTAGAAGCGTAAATTACCGACTGAGCCTGCAATTTCGAAATCTTGCTTCGCAGCGAGGGCGGCCATCGCCAGTGTCTTTTCGCCGCTGGGGGAGTTCGGGTTGGATTCGTTCTTCAGAACATTGTTCTTATAGACAATGTTGCTGGAACCGTGTTGGGGCAGTTGTAAGCACAATTTTCGGCTGTTGTTCATGGTGGCATCATTGTTGATATTCTTTGTGAATTTTGAGGTATCAATCACTTCGGTTGAGCTGAGCGTGTCCAGATTGTCCGGCGATGTTTCGCTTATAAAGGATATGGAGTCGCATGTTTCGGAATTGGCTTCATTCTCGCTGATCGAGTTGTCTTTGTAAATGTGTTGCACAGTTATTGGTTGTTGGTGGCGCGTCGGCATTGGCTGCGAGTGCGAGTGCGTCTGCGCATGCGATTGTGTCTGATTCTTTTTCTGTTGCTGTTGTTGTTGGCCTCTTAGGGGCGTAGTTTCCTGCTTCGATAAGGTTTTCTTGATGATTTCGCCCTTCTCGTTAGTTGTCGTTTCATTATTGATTATATACACATTTGAGTTCTCTATTAGCTTTCCATTCTCCAGCGTTATAACGCTACGCGCCGGTGAGTTTTGCACATAAATCTTCGTGCTAGGTATGTTACTCTGACTGCCATTGGAGGTAGTCACCTGCAGCGTTATTGAGTTGTTGGAGTTCGAACTGGGCATGCCATTAAAGAGAGATTGCCCCGTAGAAGGATTTGGCGATCTTCCTGTTGTCGTTTGTTGATTAGTGATTTCCTCCAGTATTCGTGACGGAGTTGAGGAACGTTGGCGCTGCGATTGCTCAGCGGCACGAGCGCGCATGGCCTGATGACGCGGAGTTCCGCGCGGCGATCCATTCAATACAAGTATCGACCTGGCCGGACTTGGTTGCACCACTGCCGTATTGGTCGAGCACTGCGAGTCAAGACTAGAATGACCACTGGTTTTGCTGAACGACACCTTGCCACTATCGATACTCGATGGTCCCGAGGTAAGCATGGAAGAAGCCTTGCCCGATTCCAAACTAGATGGACCACTTTGTACACTGCGATAACAAACCTTACCGCTTTCCAAGTTACTGGCATAGCCGTTCACTATAATGTTGTCTGCCTGTCGTTTCGATGTTGTTTTGCTAGACGAGCGGGAAGGTGACTGCTCGAAAATGTGTTTGCCGATAATGCTCTTAGAGGCAGATTTCTGTACAGTCGCTGCAGCCGCGGATTGATTCGGAGTGGAAAGCCTTGAAAGCGTCGCGGAGGAGTGATTGATTTTATTCGTGGGCGCTGGAGCGGTGGTGATACTCGTTGTACCGCTCGCCGTAGCTGGTATGGATTGCGTTGAACGGGGCAGTGAACTGCTGCTGTACACCGGTGAGCGCCGGCGTATAGGCGAACAATCTCGGGATGATATGAGAAAAGTCGAGTCGCTGGACATGTGGCGACGATGTCGGCGTGGCAGTGTAAGCGAGCGTTGACTTAACTCCGAGCCGTCGTAGAATGTGGAATTGGAAAGCGTATGCACCACCGGCATATCCTGAAGATATATTATATAAAATAACGAATTTTATATATAAAAATCTTTAGACTGAATCTTACGTGATCGGCTGTTTGTGTGCCAACACTGTGCAGATGAACAGCTCGAGAATTGAACCACTCGGCAGGCGGGAACTGCGCTGAATACGTTTCAATTTGACGTTGCTTGGCACGCCCACTCCGCCTGAAGAGCCGCGACAATAAAGATCCTTTTTCTATAACAACAAAAATATAATTTTAAAATGTTATATACTTTTACTCATAAGATTGACTCAAGCAAATGTTACACTTACTTGGTGACGAAGAATCTGTGCTTTGATACTCCGAGCTGCTGCTGTCAGTGGCTAAGGTTTGTGCGTATGTCTTCGAGAGGCTTCGTGTCGACGCGCATCGCTGCAATCGTTTCGAAGATCCAAACAAACGCAAACTGTGCCTTCTCTCCAGGCTGCGAGGTGTTGGGAATGAGGCGCTGCGTCTTTTAGCCGCGCGCGGATAAAGTATTTTATCATTTGGATTACCTACCAAATAAACAAAGTAGGGAAATTGAGTATAACACGCATCAGCACATCCGATTTGTGCAATCGCTTACCGCCACAAATAACATCGGCCAAATTAGTTTGTATGCATTGATGTGTTAAATCGCCATCTCGTTCGGTGGAGATTTCGCCGTAAAATGAATGAAGCGCCTCCGCGTTGGTCATGAGCATAGTCCGCGCCTCCTGAGGTATTTCGTCGGTTTCTTCAAAGTCCTGATAACCGTTGCGTATGGCACGTGGCCGGGAACGGCTTCGACGTCGTCTGAGACAATAAATATTTGGTAATTAGAGATAATCGGATTGCAGTGATTTAAATTTGAATTTTAAATACATAGCATGTAACTGGACTCTAAATACTTGTTAACGGGCGCTTATTATAAATAAATACCAATTGAGACCAACTCTGCTTGCACAATGAAAACATCTTATGAAGCAGCTCTGAGAGTTTTCGAGAGAAAGATTACGCGTTGGCGATGACGAATACCGTAGATGATTTAACGATGAGCTGTATGAGCTTTACAACGATATAGACATAGTGCAGCGAATTAAAATTCAGCGGCTTCGCTGACTAGGTCATGTCGTTCGAATGGACCGAAACGCTCCTGCTCTTAAAGTATTCAACGCGGGTCGCGATGATGGTAACCGAGGAAGAGGAAGGCCTCCTCTGCGTTGGAAAGACCAGATGGCATTTCCAATTGGGGTCAGTTGGCACATAACAGAAATGACTGGTGTGCTGTTTTGGACTCGGCCAAAATCGCTTAGCCGGTTACAGCGCCAATAATGAAGAATAATATATTTGATAAATGGATTTTAGATAACTATTGCCCAATGCTCATATTTTTAGCGCTTTGTGCCGCCGCCGTAAGACCTGGGTTCAATCCCTGCCCAAAAACAATTAAAAGTACCCGTCAGCTGGTTGTGTCAAACCGCAGGCAACATCAAGACGCACATCACAAATATGAGCGAAAATTGTTGCTTAATCGTCTCTGTCATAGTCCAGTGGTTAGAGAGGTCCCAGGCTCGATTACCGGTCTGACTAACATCAAAATAGGGTTTCTTTTAATTTCCGAAAGCGGTCGTCGTGAGTCTTTTTGGGAGATATGTAATGCTTCGAACCCAGAATAAACCGAAATGATAGTTTCCCTCAGTTAGGTTACTTTAGGTAATGTTGCTTGCCACTCTGCATAGACCGACAGAGACACACTTAGGCCAAGTGTTTCCCATTGTGGTACCACTATTTACAAGCTCTTGTTCCTTTCCCTTAGTTTCCCCTACGAATGAACCATAGTTTAACCTCAACACAGAGTCGAGGTTAGCTAAACACCGAAAAGCATGTTCATTAAAAATAGTAAGTCTGGATCTATGTCCCAGCGGTTTACGCAGTCGTTTCTGTCTGGAATTCTGGTAGAAACCCCTTTTTCGAAGCAGAAACTTGGAATAATGTAACTCAGCTTATGTAGGGTTGCTGGAATGGTGCCCAGAATTTTTGAGTGACCGATCCTAAAGTCTCTCCACCATACGGTGATGCCATAGGTGTCGGAAAAATACCGTGTACATCTAGTGTATAATGTGTGGTTTCCCTACCGCTGCTTTATAGGCGCAGAGGGCGGTAATGGCTTTCCTGGATCGTGTCGTAAGGTTCCGCTTCCAGTTCCACACCATTGAGGTCGGGCGCTCTGCAAAATTTCGTTTAGCGTTTGGATATGCTTGTCCGTTGCTGTGAGTGCAATGTCGTCGGCATACGCTATAACGTTAGAGCCGGTACTCTGTAGTCTCATCATTGTAAGTTTCCTGAGTATAGTGGAGAGAACTACTCCTTGAGGGGTAGCTCTCGCTGCATACCTGGTTATGGACGCGCCTCCCAACTCTGATGAGATAGCAGATCTTTCAAGAAGAAGCCTTATAAATTCCACAACGCTATCTGGAAGAATATTGTTAAAGGCACGCTCTATGTCATGAAAGATACCTAGGGTAAATTCCTTAAATACGAGTGCTTTTTAAATTTTGGGCACAATTTCGTGCAGCGCAGTGCCCATGGATTTGGCCTTAGAATAAGTATGTAAAACTCCGACACGTCTTCTGATGAAAGGCGCTGTCGGCCAAGGCCAAGGCATGCCTGGAAAATGTCAGCAAGCAATGGGCATAAAAGGTTCTGGATATTTATAAGGTTTAAAGGTCTTGTTAATAGCCCATTCCAACTTTTCTAGTTGCACTATGCTCTCTACTGAGTGCTGTAGAAGATAAGTCTTTTGATTAGGTGCATCTGCCTTTGGTGTACAGTATACCCCGAGAAGTGGGTGCCCGAGAGAACATTTAGAATTTCGCTGCAAGAGGAGGCTTTTGGATATAATTTGGGGCAACTGAAGTTTCAGATAGGACCTTCCGTAATCGGTTGCCCTCAGAGGTTCCTCCGGTTAAGGAAACGAAATAAAATAAATTATAGTCCACTTACTCTGGCGTGAAGATGAAGTAACCCTTTGAGGTCTGATATATTTTCTGTTCTTGCATCAACTGTGCCAACGTATCGTAGATCACTTCCGTGGCAGGTGGTGTCATGTGCGGAAATCGTATGCTCAGCTTAATGCGCACATTTTCTATAGTAGCCGAATGACCCTCTGCGGTAAGGTCCATTATGACATCACATAGAGCCTCCGTCAATGGGGTAAATTGTCCTTGCACGGTCGGTGTTACGATGCAGTCATCGATGTCACCTGAAAGAAACAACAGCAAGCAAGTGAAATAAGTAATTTGTTTGAGATGGATACTTGGGAGAAAAAAAAAAATGTTTGCACAATAACGGGTTAAATTGTGCAATATGACTTCAATTGGTGACAATCAAATAAAAGTCACTTGATTTTTAGGTGCAGTAAAAACTTGGCTAATTGAATGTGACCTCCAAATGTATGAACGCATGACATCAATATATGTATGGACGCACATACATAAGTATGTGTGTATGTATGTATGCACATATGTGCAATGTGCACTGTTTTGGAATGTAAGCATGTGCATGCGCTCGAGTATTTTGACCGAGTAACCATCGTTGGTGAGTTGGCATTTCCATTTACAGCTGTAATTAATTTTTACTTGCATTAGTTGGATTTAGTCAGGTATGGTGTAAATCAAATGTGAGATTTTAATTAACTGAAGGCTATTACAAAATGGCCTCTGCATTTGCTGTGTTTGGGAAGATTGCAGAATCCAAATGTATTGGTCAGTGATAATGAGGCAACCGATTTAATGATTGATTTACAACATAAATATTAATTTGACATTTGACACATTTAATGAACGAATTGTGGCTACTGTGATTTCGGCACAGCTTTTGATCGAATTAAAGCAACCGATGTTACTGAATGTGCCATATCTTTAAGCTGCTGATGGAAAATATTTTTACGTTGAATTTATTTCGCTATAAAAGTATTTGATTGTGGTGGCAGATTGATGGCAGGTTTAAGTATTTTACTCGTAGCTTTTAGTTGTGGAAATTATGTAGCAGAGTGATTAGTGATGCGTACTTCCACTCTGTGGGACCAAGATTCGATCGATAGTGGGCGCTCATCGGCAGGCAATGTCAAACCCCCAAGTGTACTTCTGCCATGAAAAAGCTTCTAAAAAACAAAACAATTTTCCGTTCGAGGATGGCGTAAAAATGTATGTTCATCTATTTGTGTAACAACTTCACGACGCACACCACAAGTTAGAGGAGAAGCTTGGCCAAACACGTAGAAAAGCGTGAAAGCCCCAGATTTTATTTTTGCATATAATATGTACGTACAGAGACTCAAACAAGTGTTCACGTGTTGATTTTTTTTTTTTTAATATTCACAATGTTTTACAAGTTAAATTATTTTATTTTTCTATAAAAATATTGTCCAAGCTTTAGCCAAGTTTGAAACTTTATACAAAGTTTAGGAAAATTCAACAAATTTCCATAAAAATTTCGTGCTTTTTGTTCCGAATTTTTAAAACATTTCTGGGTATGCAGTTTTATAGTCCATACAATTTTAGTCTAATGAAGTGCAAGTTTTGACGGGCAAAAAAATCCTGTTGATTTTAGAGATTTTTTTTGTGATCGCTTTTGGGATTTTTTTTTACAAGTGCAATTACAAAAACTGGCGTCGATTTTTCAAATTTTTTTTTGCGAACGGTCGCCCGCATTTAATCTCATAAAAAAATTCATGCTTTCATGGAAAAAGTGCAAAAATCCGCCAGCATAAAAATCTATAAAAAATTCACGAGATTTTTGGTTCGCTTGAAATTTGTACTTCAAGAGAGTAAAATTGTATGAGCTATAAAATTGCATACCCAAAACTGTTGTAAAGTTCGGATTAAAAAGCTCGAAATATCGATGAAAATTTGTTGAATTTTCCTAAATTTTGTATAAAGTTTGAAACTTTTTGTTTTGGTTAAGCCTGTATAATGAACAAAGAAAAATAACAAACAAAATTTAACATGAAAAAAGTTGTGAATATTAAAAAAAAAAAATCAACACGTGAACACTTGTTTGAGTCACTGTATATTTATGTAGGCATATTCCCTGCAAAAATCGTGACTACTTCACGCATGTAAAGAGTACTCCCTAAGGGTCAAGGAGTACACCAAAATTAACCGAAATGTATATAAGAAATGTGGTCCAATTAAAATTTCGATGATTTAGGCCTGGACGATATAATAGCTCAAAGCTACTCCAAGGGGTTACTCCATGGAGTATCTACTTCCTGACAACATCGTTTAGTTATTACGATTGGATAACAATAAGCTGGTGTAGAGACGCGAGTTTATCCGCCACTGGATAACAGTGGAGCATTTTGTAGACCACATTATCCAACAATTTGTACAGCATTATTCAGTGTTTGGTACATACGAATTTTGTATACTCTGCATATTTCTAAATAATTAATATTCCGGTTTGAAGTGAAATTAAAAAAAAAAATCGATTCAAAAAACTCCCTTTTTTCCGCTATACTTTTGTGTAAGCCTTTTGCATCTTAAAGCATTTTCGCTTTTCCCAAGAGCAGGAAAGCACCAGAGATCAGTAGATATGCATAAGCAACGGTAGCTATATAGCATACAAGCCAATAAGAAAATGAAAACCAATCAAATCACTTGACTTCGCAGAAGATAATAGTGAATTTAGCACTTGACTGCATGAATTTTTCGCATTCGATGAAATTAATGAAATATAATCACACCAAAGTTACGCTGGAGGTATTCACCTTCACGATGGCGCTACAACTTTGAGAGCTTGGCATTCGCTGGTCGCCACCTGCCGATCGCCATTGACTCCTCTGATTGACTTCCGTTAGTAATGAGCCTATTATTACTAAACTTTTTCTTCGAGTGCACCTGCGGTGCTTATCACCCTTTTTGCTTTCTTCTATTATGTACGTTTGCATATAATTTATAGCCACTTATAATTTGAAAATTTTTGGCGAGATAAGTTGCTGTTTTGGAGGGCATAAATACTTCGAAAATATGTGCATATATATGTACATAGCACATATCGCTCGCTACATAAAAGCAAGAGTCGGATTCTCCTTCATATCACAAAAAAAGTTCAATTTGTTCCAAGCGATTTTGAACACTCACTATGAGGATATTTTAGGATTTTTATAATTAGTTAAAAAAGGGTTATGACAAGGTTTTACTGCAGCCTTTACAAGATCAGAAAATGTTTATGAATTTCGTAAAAAATCAAACACGTAAGTGTTCGAATTTTGCTCAAGAATTTGAATAGTGTAACATTAAAGATATCAAAGGATGTAATTATTAAATAAAAAATAAATATTTGATTATTTACATAAATAGCTGATATACATACATAGATGAAATTTGACTTTTTAACTGGTCATGATCAGAGTTAACTTTTTATTCTAGGTGTGTTCTATGTCAAAATATGTGTACACTGTGTTCACTTAAATCTCCTTTCTCACTTCCCGGAAAATATAGGTAGATATTTAGCCTTTGTTAAATGGTAGAAAATAAAATATAGCTAAAAAGTGGGTAGATCTACCAAATAAATAAATAAATAATAAATTGAAGAATAAATTGTACCCAAAAACAAACTAATGCATGAACCTAAAGAAATAAAACATGTTTTCATACATATGTGACAACTCTCAAAGTCAAAAAATCCGCTCTATGTCGTTTACGTATGTATATCTTCGAAATCCACACTAAACTAATACAATTTAGTCCCGGTAAGAACGGCGAGGAATTCTGAGCTTCTCGAACAGATCTGATATTCTCTTAAGTTCATTTCGAGCCGTATGATATTTCTGTTTTGCATCCCGATATACTAAGGCAGTGAACATTTTCTGTAGCTATAATCCACAACTCACTAGAATGCAACAATGTCACAAATAGGCATATGAAGAATGCTTCTTCTTTGAAAGAGATTGGCTATGGGTACGGTTACCATATTTATGAGAGCCGAATATGGGACAAAAAATTATGTTGCATAGTTTTTCCACACTGTTTTCCCTGAAACAGTATCCTTATAGTAACATCACAAATTTGTAGGATAATTTTCTCGATATTTTTACCCCGTTAAATTTGTTTAAAAAAAAAAACGTTAAATTTTAGTATAATAAAGTGCAATTTTAAGTCGGTAAGGCTTACCACTAATTTTTGGCGATATTTTTTTTGTTGACGGTGTTACGCATTTTTTTCATACAAAGTATGTATGTAATTTGTCGACCATTTTTTTTTTTGAAAGAGAAGCAAATGAGCGGCGATTTCCACTCGCACTTTATTATACTCAATTTTAATGAGTTACAAAGCTGCAAACCAAATTTTGTTCTAAAGATTCTAATTATAAAGTTTGAAATTTTGGGGAAACATTGCAAAATTAATTTTTATGGTTTTTTGTTGGAAATTTGGTATTATATGGGTTTTATTAGGAAAAGGGCTTTACTTAAAATAAATAATAAATATTAAATAAACTAAGGAAAAACAGCCAAAACTTACTAAAATGTCGAGTCCTAATTTCTATTTTGGCCACTGTATGCATTCCTCGATTGGAATCACAGGCATTCAGATTAGAAAATAATAACTGTTTATAAAGAAAATTACGATCATATATCCAAATCACTTAAAACGCGTTCATAGGCATGCCATTTTAATGAGCTGTTAAGGCGTCGGAACACCGAATACGGGACAAATACAGGACATTAAAAGAAATACAGAACATTTGGCGTCCCGTATAAAATAAATAAATTACCAGGGCAATGGGTCAAAAAAGAGGACTGTCCCGTATAATTCAGGGCGGATGGTCACCGTAGCTATGGGCACCTATGGGTGACTGATGGGGCGAGTGAACGGTCACTAATCAACTTAAGCCGATTTGTTTAAGTGTCAATTGTCTGTGTAATTTGTGTAACCCTTTCGTTTGTCCGAAGAGTGATATTTCTAACACCTAACGCAAACGGCCGTAGCTGGCTTAAAAGCACAGGGAGACGTGATACTCGTAGTACGAAGGCTTATTGAAAAACTGAATGTACAAATGTACACGTATTTTTTTTATTTGGATTTTTTTCCAACGTACAGAACATATACATATACATACATACATTTGTATACATACATGTATGTGCAAAGTTAGTAAATAATTATAAGTACATCGAGTAAAATAATGACAAATAATTAATTCAACTTAACATCTAAAAGTAATTCATAATCCTTGGATGGTTTTGAATAAAGTTCAACA